TCAAGGATTCGGATGAGCTGCTGGTTATTCCCGGGATTTCAATTAGGTTTTATGGTTTTGTTGCTCCAGAGCCGTCGGAAGTGCGAGAACGAAGGTAATGGTTTTGGCCGTGTTTTCGGATATCGATAAAATTGGGTTAGGGTTTTTGAGTATTTGGTGAGGCCATAGAGGAAAAATCCTTACAAGTTTAGCTTTAATAACATTAGATTTATCATCACTTGGATTTTTATAAATCAGTTTGAGCTCAGCAACAGTAATGATAAGTGCTGCAAAATCGTGTCTCTTTACAGTACAGTTCCCTGTTCGAGAATGAATTTTTACACACTGCAAGAGGACAAGATTTTATAGATCTGGAGAAAGTTGGGCGTCGATGGGTGATCATTATTTCCACCAGCTTGACGAACCGCCCCAAAAAATTTCTATAGTTAGGAAATAGGAAAAAATGAAAAGAACATGCAAAAAATCAGTACAACTCAAGAACAAATATGTGAATCAGTGCTGCAAGGCTGAAATGAGATAACTATGACCCTGTTGTAGAAGGATAAAAGATGCATAATTTCTGCATCCAGTCCTGGGCACGAGTCCTATGAATGAAGAATAGATAAAATTGTTATCTCATTCAGCCTTGTCCATTCTGAAAGTTAAGAAACGTACATAGCCACATTAAGTAAATAAACTCCATTCACGAGCAAGAAAAAGAAAACTGAGTTCAAGTAAATTTAAAAAAATCTCCAGAGGATCTTGGTTCATTATTCCAGTAAGCATATGTGGAAACTCACACTGTTTAATTAGAAACTCAAGTAAATCCAGGGTGGAGCGAAAGGCAACTCGTAATTCCTCTGCAGTTGGTTTTGTAAGAAAACTATTGGGCGATATTTTTCTAGATTTAACAGCCGTCTCCCGATCATCTAAACGACTGAGACTGTTCTGAATTATCTAGAGAATGCATAAGGAGATTGTTCATAAAATAACCATTGAATCACTTCAATAATACCTTATAATCCACGCTATCTGACGTCGCACCGCTCAAATCCTTAGTTCTATTAAGTGCATCACACGTTCTATTAATCCAATGACAGAAATCTACACTGCTTGCGGAGTCTTTCAATTCCTCAACTTTTCTCTTGTACAGTTCCATTCTGTGGGCAACAGAATTACTGCAGATCTAATCAATAAAATTTCAATAATTGATATTTCATTATCATTATGTACAGCAGTTATTGGCAGTGAACATACCTGCACTGCTAAGCCAACTCTCATTTTAGAACTATTATTTAGATCTAAATGATTAGCCGTAAGTAGAGGACATACAAGCTTTTGGCCTAGGTCGCAGGACTCTCTGTCAGCTTTATAAAGCAAGCGGAAATGTTCCCACTAGACCAACGGTTTCTCGGGATCAACCTTGAAAAAAAAAAGAATGTTAAAGGTGTTCGTCGAAAAAAGCAAATTCCGTACAGTCTAGAAAATTATTTGTATACAATACCGAAAGGATTCCCTTGTTATATAAACGATTACGTATCGTTTTTATCAGATGTGGCGTGTCTGAGAAGACACCTACTCATCTCAAGAGGATATTGTGTGATGAACCCCGTGAATGTTCATCACCCGTGCGAATGAATAAAAGAGGAAAGCAGGGAACGGAGGAATGAGTGAGTGTGTGAAGAATTAGGTAAAAAAAAAATAGGGAAGGAGTTATTGCAGAAAATGATAGAGAGAAACAGAGGAAAAGAAATGCCGGAGGATATCGTGGAGCTGCCAGGGGTTATCTGCCGAATACGTGCGCCGCGTGATCATCCGCCCGGAGAGGGCCCGGCTCGTGAGAGGCGAGATAAACGGCAGACCAGGCACGGATCTGTAGAGGAGGAGACACGCGGCTGAGTCGGAGTGATGACCCGCACCCCCAACTGTCGAGGGGATGGACCACCGAAGATGGGAGGCCTCGTCGCGATACGAAACCCAACGTCGCGAGGGTACCCGGCAGAGAAAAGTACCAGGTGGACAGTCTCCCGGGGGCAAGCCGCGCAGACCCTTCTCCGCTCCTGAGCAACTCGCGAAGAGGGGGGAGCCACAGGATATCGCCGGTAGCGGAGTCGTGAAGGAGAGTCGACGCTGGGCAGCGATGGGGAGCTCACGCGTACGGGAGTCGACCAGCGAGGCCTTGAAGCCCGCGAGGTCCTGGCCCGAGATGCCCGGAAGGGCACTCGAGCCGAGGAGTGGCCCCAAGGGTAGCCCAGGAGGCTTTTTAGCCCCGGGCGACCCTGGGAAGTATGATCGGCACCAGGGGCAAACCACCCCCCCCCACGGGGGGGGGGGGGACAAGGAAATCAGTTCCCAAGGGTAGGGGTTGAGGCCACCCCCAGGTAAGCCCCGTCCCCCCGCCGTCGACACGAGAGTATTAGAGGATATGTGACCGAGGAAGTGCAGAGTGTCAAATGTGAGAATGAGTGTAGATCCCGCTTGACCCAGTGACACCTGAAGCAGGAGAATAAAATTATAATAAACGATCAATCGCGCGGAGTTAAGTAGATCCCCGTACTCCGCCCTCTCTCCAAAACTTACATCCTGAGCAGCACGGGCACGTAACCCCATCCTAGCCTCGCGACCCCGGGGAGAGCAGTTAGCGTATCTGATAAAACGCAGTACAGGGGTAAGTGGGAGCATCAAGGGCCAGTTAGCGGACCTGGCATAAAAATCGAAACGCAGTGAAGGTTTTCTTCGAGCCGCAGCTTAACAGCTCGCTCGCGTCCAGGGGTGGCACTGGGTTATCAAAGTCACCTGGCGCCTGACGAATACTTAATTAAAAGAGCGGTTAGAGGAGCATAGGGCTAAGGTGGTACGGGTATGGACAGGGATCGCCGGAGAAGAGTCCAACCCAAGAAAAGCGTTACAGTTGAAAGGAGTTTTGGAGCTTATTTTTCTTTCCTGAAACTCCAACTTCACACTAGTACCTCCTGTTAGCGCCGTCTGTTATAACACCGTGAATTTTGGCTCCAACTTGCTCCAAAAGAACAATGGCCTTAACGATCAACTTGGCAAGAACTACTCCCTTGACTGATGAATTTGCAGCAAAAAATGCAATGGGCTGAGCAGCACCAGCTGCTAGAGGCTTATACATCAGGCATGGGCAAAGTGCGCTCAATCGGCTCACCTAGCTCCCAATCTCAATTAGGCCAATGACTAAAATGAGGGGTCCTCTTGTACCGTGCAGGTAGTTGGAGGGGCAAGACCACGATGCTTGCGTCAGAGTGGGGGAATCGCTACGTCAGTCAACGCGCAAAAATTTGAATTTTTGAACGAAAAATATGAATATTTTTCTTGCTGCATTTTGCATTGTTAAAAAATATCAATTAATCAATTTTCCCTTGTAACGATGTTTTCCCCGGAGTGTTCCGTAAGTCCGGGGAATTGGTTACCTTCGCCGGTTCCATAGCATCCGCGAATTTACCAGGAGGGCGCCAGCTATTTGAAGTGGGTAAAATAGCAAACCAGAGAGCCGCCTAGTTGTTAAGGATACAATTAGGAAATACCATTTAAGCCGCCTAGTTGTTGAGGACACAATTAGGAAAGACCGATAAGTTAAAATTAGGTGCGTGACCAGAGATCGTCACTGTCCCTTTCCCAGGGCGCAGTGAGGACCTCTGGAGACTTCCCGCGAAATACCAAAATGGCGGATGTAAAGTTAGAACACGTGCGGGAGC